CCGCCCCCCGCCCCCGGCGCCCAGTGAGCCCCGCGGGGCCGCCCGTCTGCCCTCTGCCGCCGGCCCCGCAGCCCGGCCCGGCCCGGCCGGAGGGGCCCACGGAGCAGCCGGCCCCGCTGCCTCTGCCCGCTGCCAGCTCGGGTCGTGGCTCCGCCGGAGCGGGTGGGTGCCGGGGCAGAGCTGCTGAGGGGAAGGGGCCCTCTCACCCCTCCGTCGCTCTCCAATGGCAGGTTCTGCTTCCTCGTCCGGCCACGCATCAGGACGATGAGGTACATCGCTGGTGAGTGCGAGCGGCCGGGGCCGGGGCCGAGGCGCGGGCTGCAGCTGCCTCGTGGGCGCAGGCAGGCGTGGGCTGAGGCTCCGTGCCCTGGGCTGCCGGTGCCGAGTGGGCTCGAGAAGGGCTTTCGGCGAGTCCGCAGCCTCGGCGGATGGGCCCTGTGCCCAGGGATTTTCTCCCTGCCTGGGGTATTTGGGTCCTGCGAGATGCGGGACCCTGGACCTCCTCGGAGAAGAGGAGCTGTGCCGCCTCAGGGGGGTGGGCAGCATTTGCAGAGTCCGCGCGGTTTTTCGTCCCTAGACATCGTCAATGCTGACAAGATGTCGGGGAGGAGCAGGAAGTACAAGATTATCTTCAGCCCCCAAAAGGTCAGTCTGACCCTGCTCTGCTGCCAGCTACCCCATCGCTCTGTGCCTGCCCGGCCTTCGTGCCTTCCACCCCTTCTACAGATGCCAAAACTTCGTTTCGAACGCAGAAATGTTTAATTAAAACCAAACGTTGCCATGCCTGGGAATGAGCTGGTCCCCTCCATCGCCAGGTCTTTTCTGCGTGCTTGGAGCCCGTCTGGGCCCTGAGCCAGGTCTCTTCTTCTCTTCCAGTTTTACGCTTGCGAGATGGTGCTGGAGGAAGAGGGAGTCTTTGGTGGTGAGCGCGGCCGCGGTGCCTGCCCCTTTCCCTCACGAGGGCTGCCTTGCGGTAGCTCTGACACCGCAGAACTCCCGCTGAATCCCAGTACTGGGATCCCCGTGCTGGCAGGGTCGGGAGCGTGGGCAGGAACCACAGGTTGCCTCGAGCCCGGCCGCCCGCCTGCAGGCAGGCACGTGCGCGCCGCGGCGTCGGCGCCTTTCCTCTGGGAGGAGGGAGGGTCCTGCCACAAACCCCCGCGGAAAGGCCCCGTCTCTCTGCTCCCCACGCCCCTGTCTGCGGGGCTGGCCCGATTCTGGGGGCTGTTTCTGCCGAGGGCTGGGTAACTCTCACCTTCCCCTGTCCTGCACTCAGATGTCACCTGCGATGAATGGTCCTTCTACCTGCTCCCCCTGGACGAAGACATCATCAGCATGGAGCTGCCCGAGTTTTTTCGCGACTACTTCCTGGTCAGTGGGACGATGCTGCCGGGACGCTGCCCTGCGGGGCAGCAGCCTTTCCCTCGCTCGTCTGTTGGGCTTGGGACAGAAAAGCTTTGTCCAGAGAGCTGATCCGCGACGTCCTGCTCAGTCCCCTTGGCCCTTGCCGCAGGCCCTTGTCTGCTGTCACAGGGTGGCTTTTGCCGCCGGCGGCTGCTCTGACGGGCTGCGAGGCCTCTCCTCCTCCGCGCACGGCCCCCCTGTGCCGGCCCCTCCTCTGCTCCCCCCTGTGCAGCTTCAGGGCATCCCGGCACGTTCCTGTGCACGTTCCTCCTGGAAGCGCCAAGCCCGGGGCCCGCTCCATCCCCAGTCCATCTCCAGCCGAGCCCCCTGACGTGGCAGTCGTTTCCCACCCAGACTCGCTCCCCGACGTCTCGTGGTCCCTGCAGGAGGGAGATCACCGCTGGATCAACTCCGTCGCTCGAGCCCTGCAGTTACTGAACTCCCTGTATGGACCTTTCGGCAAGGCCTACGGGATTGGCAGGTGTGCCAAGGTACGGCCCGCGCTGCTGGGCTCGGCCAGTGCGTGGGAAAGCCTCTCTGGTCCCCGTAAGGGGTACGGCTCGCCAGGAATCAAACCCCATCAGCTGTGTGGCACTGCGTCGCCACGGAGGTGGCACCGCGCTGCTGCCTCTTCCCAGGCGGCTCTGGTGGAGCCACGGCAGTGTCTGCTGCTCGCTGGGGGGTTGCGGAGCACCCCGTGCCCTGGAGGGGGGAGCGCTTGTGCCCAGCCGCCGTCGGTGAGCCCCAGGCCCGCTGCAGCCGTTGTCCCCGTGGGCCACCCAGGCCCGTGTCCCGGCTGGTACGCCGCAGTGGCACGCGAGGGGCTGGCGCTGGCGCAGGCTGTGGCCCTTGGCGGGAGCTGGGGCTGCTCCCGGGGGCTCTGGCACGCTCTGTCCGTCACAGATGAGCTACGAGCTGTGGCGGGACCTGGAGGAGGAGAGCGAGGGCGACGGCCAGGGCAGGAAGCCTGAGATTGGCAACGTCTTCCTCATGGACAGAGGTAGGCTGGAGCGAGGGGGACAGCGGGCGAGGGCTGGCCGAGGAGGAGCAGTTGGGCCAGCAGCTCGCCCGGAGAAGGATCTCCCAGTGAGCGGGGCAGGGAGAGCCTGTGCTGGCGCCGGGAGCAGCCGGAGGCACGGGGCGGCTGACTGCGGCGGGGGGGGGTGGGGGGGGGGGGGGGGGGGGGGGGGGGGGGGGGCGGGCGAGGCTGGGCAGGCGAGGCGCGAGGAGCGGGAGGGCAGCCTGGGCACCGGCTCTCGTTGCAGACACGGACTACGTGACAGCACTGTGCTCCCAGGTGGTGTACGAGGGGCTGGTGGACGACACCTTCCGCATCAAGTGCGGTAGGTCGCCGGGGGAGGCGATGGGGTTTGAGACTGGCATCGTCAGACCCAGGGCCTGCGCGCTGCAGCCGTTCCCCGCGGGGACAGTCCTGGTGCGGGGTGCTGCTGGAGGCTGCCCGCGAGCACGGCCCTCGGTCTGACCGGGCTGGATGGGCGTCGCCTGTCTCTGCTGCTTTTTGCAGCAGGGCCGACGCGTGCCGGGATGTTGCTAGTGCTGGGGCAAAGCAGCTCTTCATCCTTCTCTGCAGGGAGCGTGGATTTTGGGCCGGACGTCACCTCTTCTGACAAGAGCATTAAGGTGCTGCTCAATGCCCAGGACAAGGTGAGTCCTGCTCACATGCCCTGGGGGAAGCGGGTCCCCCCGCGCTGCGTGCTAGGTGGCAGCGGGAGGAGGCTGAGTGGGGCATTCCCTCCCCTCAGCCTGGGCAGGGGGTGGCCGGGTGCTGCTGGGCCTCAGAGCACAGGTTGGGATGGGTCAGGGCGCAGAGACCGGAGAAACACGGTCTGCAGGTGCAGCTCGGCTCCTGTAGCCGGCGGAGTCCCTGCAGGCAGGGGTGCGTCGTGCCGGCCAGTCGGAATTTTGGGGTACTGACCTCCCCGGCGGGGACACCACCTCATCTTGCTGCTGTTCAGGCTGCTGGCAAGCATCAGCTCCGGGCGCTGCGGGGCTGGGGGCTGTGGCTGGCCAGGCCCATGCTGGCACAGGGGGGCGTGGGGCCCGGCATCGACCGCTGCGGTGCTCTCTGCAGGTCTTCAGCCAGATTCGGAACGAGCACTTCTCCAGCGTGTTCGGCTTCTTGAGCCAGAAATCGCGGAACCTGCAGGCGCAGTACGACGTGAGTATCACCCCGGTGTGCGGGATGCCCGCGGTGCCGTCCCTCCACAGCTGAGTCACCGCCCCAGCTGCTCTTTCTTCTGCAGCGGCGCCGCGGCATGGACATCAAGCAGATGAAGAACTTTGTCTCCCAGGAACTGAAGGGACTAAAGCAAGAGCATCGCCTGCTGAGCCTGCGTAGGAGCCAGGGCTGGGACAGCGGGGAGGGAGAGGCCCTCGGGCGCTGCAGCGGGTGCCAGGGCTCCCGGGGAAAGCCGGGGGGTTGGAGGGCCCCGCTAGTCCCCAGGAGGGGCAGATGATCTGAGCCACGGGCAGCACAGCAGAGGTTGTCAGCTCACGCAAGTGTCCGTAGTGGGGCTGGCAGGACGAGCCAGATGCGGAGCCTGTTACTCCTCCAAAGTGGCCATCTCTCTTGGCTGTGCAGATATCGGTGCCTGCGAGTCCATCATGAAAAAGAAAACCAAGCAGGACTTCCAGGAGATGATCAAGGCTGAACACTGTGAGTGCCTTTCCCATCTGTTGCTGCCCCCATCCCAGTCCTCGCTCCCCTGCCCTCTGCTTCAGCTTGCCCCAGGCCTGGGCAGCCTCACACCCAGCTGCCCCCCGCGTGACCACAGTCCTTCCAGTTTGTGTTGGGAGGGTCCTGAGGCCCTAGATAGGGTCGAGCCGCATCCTCGGAGGGCTGGTGTGCGGTGGGGCAGGAGGCCCGGCGTCGCAAGCCTGCCCCGTTCCCTGGGGCTCAGGGAGGGGGGCTGAGCCCGGGCTCCAGCTCGGTTAGCTGGCGAGAGCCCTGTGGGTGGGCGAGGTGACGCTGCCTCTTCCCCTCCCATAGCTCTGCTGGAGGGCTTCGACATCCGCGAGAGCACCAGCTTCATAGAGGAGCACATTGACCGGCAGGTGAGACCGCGCCGAGCCGGAGGGCCGCGCTGCTGCGGCCGCCCCGTCCCGCTGCGGGGGGCGCCCGGGGGTCCCCCCCCGCCCCCCCCC